ATGCATTCTTGTAATAAGCATTAAATAACGCTAAAATGGGACATTTTCAATGCCTCACTGCTCCTTAACGAGCATGGGCACCCCCCTCTTTTATTTTATAATTAAAGTTCTTATATGATAAATATTCATTGGACAAAGTTTGAGCAAAAATCTATGTGCAGTTTTATTTCAGGGGAATTACCTTAATTAAAGTTGGGAACTTCCATTAATTTTTATAATTTCTCAAACTCATTCATAACTCATCTAGTTAATTTAAACAAAGGAAATCAGCAAGACCATGACAGTATTTGGACATCTGATCTTAATTAGCACATTTTAGTTCTTCAATTTCTCCTCCACTTTTGGTTCAATTGAGAAGAAAAATGAAACACTCAAGACAGTGTTTGACCACATTTCCAAACACCTCAAAGGTCAGAAAAAATACTCTGCTGTGTGTCATATTGTCAACTCTCTTCTTGGTGTTTGGAAATGTAGTCAAACAGTCTTTTGTGTTTGATATTAATATTACATGTACATGCCTGGGCGCAGATCTAGGGGAAGGATGCAGGGGGTGTGCACTCCCCCTCCCCCTGAGATGAAGCCTCCTTCTTTGTATTTGCTAAGTTTAAAATTTGTTTACCTCACCAATCAGTTACATCATTCCTTATTTGTGCACCCCTCCTAAGAAAATCCTGGATCTGCCCCTGCATGCACATCATTTGAGTAAAAGCAAGTTGAAATCTTACTTCCTGGTTGCTGGTATTTCTTGGCATAAGGTACACCAAAGTACTGCTTACACTGCTCTACAAAATTCATTCTGAGATTGTTCATTCTGACAGGATCTGCTCTCCACTTTATTGCTTCCTTACTGACTTGTTTGGACAAACGTATAGCATTCTGAAACACAGACAAAACATCATAGACAATGTAAAGACATGAATGATCATCGCAGTTATGTGCTACACAACTTATTATAAGTGGTTATAAAAATAAAGCCTGAAAAAAATTCAGGCTTCGATGGGATCCAAATCCATGACCTCTCCAATACCAGTGCAGTGATCTAAGAATTGAGTTGTCTAACAAACTGGGCTCAGTGGGTCACATTGTGAGTTTGTATCAAACCCACAGACGTCGAAGAAATTGCATTCAAAATGGTCAACGTTGAAACAATTGAACCCAAGTCTCCCCAGAGACACCTCTATAAAACACACACCCAGGGAAGCCAGAATCATAAAATCTCTACCTCTATAATATTGGCACCTCTGTAATACAGACATTGAGTTCTGCCCCTTTGGTGTTATTTGCCTTAACAGACACCTCTTTCCTATTCTATAGGCAGTTCACTTGGTCCCATACAAACCAGAATTCGGAATGACTAATTAGTCTAGAGGAGTTCCCTCTATAACACTGGACACCTCCAAAATATGGACACCTCTTTTATATTTCAAGGAATTCACTTCTTCCCAAAGAAAACAGAGGTCGGTGTAGAAGACTGAAACGACTTCTTGCTGATGTTCTCCTCCTTCGGCGCCAAATTGAAGGGTAAAGAAATAGGATGACGTCAAAAACATACAATTAGTACATGTTTTAGGGAAATCTTTACTGTATAAATATTTTCCATGCATAGATATGCAGAGAAATGTTTACCTGTCTTTCCTTACGAAATCTCTTGAAAGCTTCTTGTAAACTCTCGCCGCTCTTCGCCTTCTCGCCTGCAAACTTGATATTAACCTCTTTACCTCCTTTTGCGTTTTTTCGCTTGCTGTCTTCCATTTTGTTTACGCGTAGTTCACTACAAGGAGATCGGGTCATGATAAAACGATGACGTTAAATTTAAGATGTCTGGTCCTTCAGCTAAATTAGCGAGTAAATATTATGGCAAATGTGAAGAGCGATCGCAAAAACCGTTTGTTTTCAGCGTGTTCGGTAACCAGGGCGATGTTAACAACCTCTCCCCTCCCCACTTAGTAAAATACGTATAAATCACTACACTGTACACTTTCAGAGGTACATGGAAAAAGTTTGACAAATAACGGCAAAAATATTTCTGGACCTGCATCGCAGTAAAAAAGATTGACCACATGCTATGAAGTGTACGGAACACGCCAAAAAGTTTTAATTATTAAGCTTAATCAATTTTCCAAAAGTTTGTAGTGTCCCTAGTAACTGCTGGGAGCTTTTGTCACCTCTTCATTAACATTTAAATATTTCGTCGAAAACAAAGGCTCTTTCTACTAGACAATACAAGTTATACTTTCTGCACGCCTACCTTTGGCTTCAGAAAATTTGTTCCGCGTGTCTGGTCAAACACGCTCGACGTGTTGCATATTTGCAATTTGGTTTCCAACGGTAACAACAACGATCAACCTTTTCTTTCCCAAAAAAGTCGATAAAAATGAAGTACTAAGTTACTAATACAGTGTGAAGCTAATTTAAAGCTTCCTTAAAACCTAGACGAAACAAATTAAACCAGCTGAAGTTGATCAGTTTTTGTGGAAAAATTTTGTTATGCCGCCATTTTCCATCTCACTGGATCTGCGATTTCTGGTGGTTTGCGGATGTTCGCATGAAGTTAATCTGATTGGTCGCCAGCCACGCAGAACCGGGGCATTTAAAATTTCGAATGTTTGATCGTTTGATTCAAAATTCAAGAGACGCTCACTTCGGACGTTCTAGTTGTTTCTTTCGTTGATTTGTTTATAAAGGATCACAAACATGGGTGCTTTTGAAAGCAAACGATGGTCTGAACTACCTCCCGAAACACCTCAGCCAGTAGATAAACGTATTTCCAGGCTTCAAATACCGGATCCTCGTTCGCCATTCGGAGAACAGAGAACGCCGATCCAATTGGAATATTACGAGGAATCACCACAAAACAGAGAGCTGAACATTTGCGATCCAAGATCGCCGAGCTTCCTTATTGATCGAACTCCCATTAGCTTACCTACTACTGGCAGGAACCACTATGAACCAAAGGAGAAGGCCGAAGAAACAGAACGCGAGGAGATGTCAACAGAATCCAGCGATCAGGATGAGGCCTTCGGAACCGAAGAAGATGCCTTTGTAGGAGTCGAACCACCATCGCCCGATATCGCTCAGATCAACAAGATCCTCAGTGAAGTATCGATGTCTCCGGTATCACCTGGTGCCCCACTTTCTAAACAAGACACAGCTCGACTGCTAAAGAAAACTGCCAGCCCATCTGATTTCAAAAGAAAGAGAAGGCTCTCTGGTCGGCGACAATCAGTTCCACAAAAATTGTTCTCGGATAAAGTGGCGCCCGCTCCCAGATCTCCACTGGCTCAGAGAAACTCGGTCGATTTAACAGAGGCAGTTAAGAAAGGAAACAAACTCTCCTTCCGCACCCAGAAAACAAAAAGACCTAGCTTGCAAGAAGGACTTTATTCTAATAAAGAAAATCTTGGCGCACCACTGGTGATGTGAAGTGACTTCCAAGCTTTCATTTACTTTTATAAATTTGAAATCAGACAATTTGTTTTAGAAGAAACGTGACATTGATATCGATAAGATGATAAAAGAGGAAGGAACTACAGATATGTTAATACAGAAGTGATGTACCTTTTACCAGTTTTCTAACGTTACTGAAGCACTACCAGGAAAGTGTGGGGGGTGGGGGTCCCTTTCGTTTATCAATTGTTACAATCTGCTGTACCAGTGTTATATACAGTGGCATATATGTATTCAATACTTTGAGCCCACTCTCACAAATTTAATTTTAAGTGTATTGCTTATCAGAATTTAACATGGCAGGGCCCCATAAATGTCACTATAATACCCCGATCATAAACTTGAAGAAAAACTCAACCATTTTTATCAACACTACTCCAAGAGTATGTTGGAGGCTTATGTAAGCTGAGAAATTATTGTGCACGAAGGCCCTTTTCTCTTGGATTAGACTTTAATCAAAGAAAAAGGGGAAAAAATGGTTACAGCTGTAAGGTTCTTTAAACTTTATGTCACTAATTAGATAGTAACTGACATATTGCTATGTTACATTGGTGAAAAAAATTGTTGTTGATTTGATACTACCTATTATTATATGGCTGTGTCTCACAAAGACTGGGAACTACCGAATTCACAAATTTGATTGGCTGAAATCGATATTGAC